CAAGTCCAGGGACCATCACTTAATTAAAATACAATTGCTTACTCTCTGAGGCAATTCACCTGATCTGTTAGTGGCTCTGAAGATTCATTACAATCTCACTTTCCACACTGCGTCAGATTATCTTTTGTTTAATTGAACTGTTTAGCATGCATTTGAGTTATACAGATCTATAAGACATTATTTCAACGAAATCAGTATACATTTCAGCTATTTATTTCTCTTAGTTCCCACCATTATGGTTAACAGCTAAGGAGATATAACATTAAAATCCATTTTTCTTAGACAATTTAAAATAGATTGTTATAGAAATGTTAGCCAATTGAAAGGTAGAGTGTGACCTTGTACTAGAGGCAGGGCCAAGTCATTGTTCTGCAACTTTCCAGTCTCTAATCTTTATCATCCAGAAATTCAAATCCGAGTTAAGTCAGGAAACTCTCAAGTCAATTCAAGAGTCTGAAACTTCAGATTTCAATTCCTTTCAAGTCTATTTTTACTAAGTTAAATCGTATGTCTATTGTAGATGACTGTGTTGTTTTTAAAGTCTGAATTTATCACAACACAAGTGAAATCAGTGCAGTTGAACCTTTGTTAAAATAGAGTTAGCTACAGTTGGTTACCTCATTATAGCTAAAATAAACTACCTGCTTTTCTTTCTGCAATATCAATTCAGAAAAAGTTGTAAGTTGTTTTGTCTCTATCTATTTTCTTTGCATGGTTTGGGTACAGCATTTCTTTGTGTCGAGTACATTTCAATTTATGTAACTGTAAAGAAATGACACTTGGGTGCATATATGCTTTTTTATCTGATTAATTTAATGGGCTGTGCTATTGCTGATGAGCTGCAACACATAGGGACAATGTGCAGAAAGATGGAGAGACAGACCACTTTTGTTAATATGGGTCAATAAATATATTAATGGAGTGCACTTTTTAAATAGATACTTTAAACTTTAGATTCTGGTCAAAATCAAGTCTTTTTGAGTGAACAGGTACTTGTCCAATTCAAGTCCCAAGTCATTATGTCAAAGTCACATCTCAGAGCATTTTTCCAAATCAGATCTAATGTCATAAAATTAATTACTTGAGTCTGACTCGAGTCCAAGTTATGTGTTATGTCCCCCCTCTGCCATGTATTGTACCGTTTCTATACTTTGTTTACATTAAATACAGCATTAGTTCTAGGTGCTGAGATGGTATTTTGTTATATTGGTGTTTTGGCTCTTTGCCCAGGTCAACAACTCTGTTGAGGACAGTGTATAATAATAAAGGTTATGCCATTTTCACCCAAACAACATTTCTACTGTTTGACATTTTCAGACAACACTGAAGATGAGCCAGTCCGTTTTGTGCTTTATGCATGCACTGTAAGAAAATAGGTCATATTTCAACTGCAACAACAAATCAAAGTTATATTGGAGTCAATATTCCTGTTTTAAGCTAAATTAGTCTGCAGAGTTATTTGTTAATGTCTAAATTACTTTGAGAACACCTGATCTAAATTGATTTTCACTCGTTTTCAGATCAAACAATGAAAAAAGAAAAAAAAAGTTATTAAGACAGGTGTTGGTACTTTTGGTAGTTTAGGTAGGTGCCAAGCCTTTAAAAATGTCCTGATCAATGGCTGTGTTGGCTGGACCTCAAACTGCACAGATAACCAATACCTGATCATGACAGTGCCATGGTCTGGGGAATTTTCTTGACCCACATGAAGAGAACCATCAGTAAGGCACAAATTCAAATGTTCTATTTCAGTCATTTCTGGAGGGTGGAGAGGACCTGGTCCAGACTTATAAGTTCTTTTTTTTTTCTTTCTTTTTTACTTTGAGGTTTTTATGGCAGTAGTGGCTCATTTTTTGTAAAGTGGGCTGACTGGAAAGGGGGTAACAGAGAGGGGGAGAAACATGCGGCAAAGAACCACAGGTCGGATTTGAACCCCGGTCAGCCACGTCAAGGACTAAGGCCTCAGTACATGAGTCATGCACGCTAAGCACTGTGACATTAGAGTTCTTAGAAATGTAGACTTGAGAAGATAATCAGAGCTTGGTTTGAGCAGATGCAGCTGAATAATCTTGCAGGTGAGTGTATTTGATTACTGTGAAAAGCTGCAGGTATGGCCAAGTCAGAGGGGCGATGGACAGTGGGCAGACAAGAAGAATATGTGTTCACAGCCACAGAAGATAGCTGTCAGAGAGTATTTCAGCCAAGGAGTTCCTGGAATTCAACTGGATGAGAATTTGATGGAGACCAATCTGGAGGCAGAAAGCAGAGGAATCAGCTGGCAAGGAAACGTTTAATAGACAGCGAAAAATAATTTGGAATCAAGGCAGAAACGCAGGTGGCCTGAAAGTACAAACTATGTGGGGCCATCAGGCAAAGAATGACTACAATGCTGCTCCTTAAAAACACTGCAGGAGATGATGGTGAGGATGCACAGGTGGGCCACCTTCCTCTGGGAAACCACACCTTCCAGCAGAGATCTTAAGGAAAGAAAAGCTGGCTCGCACTCAAACTAAAACCAATACACCAGAAACCTGACCAACACAGGACCCTCTATCATTCCTGCCTGGGAAAACTTCAAGCGACAGGGATTCTGTGTCTTTTCTTCTAGATGATAGAGCCTTGATTTGCAAATTAAATAGAAGATTTGCTTTTCTTTTGAAAGAAGATTTTGGACCCATTAGAAAAAGTTCTGTACCATTTCCTTTGAACTCACTGATTGTAACAGCTCAATCCTCGGTGTATTGTGGCTCTTGAAACACTGTTTACGGGCTCAGTCAATGCCTTGTAATTTATTCACTAACATTCTCAAGTGCGGATGCATCACAACCATTTAAAACAGGAGTGTCTTACACAGATCCATGAGAGCTGCAACATTAGAAATATCCTTATCCAAATGCATCTGAAAGAAAAAGCCCTTCTGTGTCAATTTCTGAATGCAAAATGAAACATTTTATTATTTTTTTAATTGTGTACTGAAACATGGAAAACCTAAACGTTTATGGATCACTGCTCTTTGGGTCCACAGCTAGACACTGCTGCTCTAGAACCCACAGTTACCATATTGAAATGTTTGTTTCTCTTGCAACTTTCTTTCATACAGCTGGCTTCCTTGATAAGTTTTTTTTTTCATCACAGTCCAATAGCCATAAGCTAGATGTGTACAGGTGCAAAGTAATAATAATAATTGAACATCATTGATCTCACAATCGAGAAATTCCCTTTTGCATCTTAACATATCCCCTTTTGGAGCAGTGGGCTGCCGCTGTGCATCGCCTGGGGAGGAATCGCGGGTTAAGGGTCTTGCTTAGGGACCCAGAGTGCAGGCTGTGGAGATCAAAACGGGTACTTGCAACCTTGTCAGAGTGCAAGCGCCCTGCTCAAACCACTAGGCCACCACCCTCACTACAGAACGGCACCTGTTGACTATGCCTCCCAGTGGTGATCTACTGTGAAGACAAGACTCTTTCCCTAAAAAGAAACAACAGAGACTCACCAAGATCACAACTTTATTCTGAGCTTTACCTTTTCATGCTGTTTAACCCCTAGAACCCTACGGACCCACCGGTGGGTCCAGCTGCTACGTGACCTCTTAATTTTAACAAACCCCCAGTATTGATGTAAAAAACACATTTGGCACAGTTTGGTGACATTTTTGGATAAATGTGCCAAAATGGCCTCTCCGCCTAAGAAATTTCTCACTAATACCATTCTAAAATAAATATGATTCATCTGATTGAGTCCAGGTATGGTATATTTTTACATTTAGATTTAAAAGTCTGTACTACTTTTTTGTGCTATAAATAATATTTTGGTAGTGTTTTGCAATGTTTATTTCAAAGAAAATTTTGGCGAGGTTCAAAAAATGCAAAATATTTTGTATTTTGTCCCTAATATTTCAGGCAGGGTCAAAGCTACAATGGTGCTGACACCAGAAAACCATTCTATGACATCTTACCTTTACAGAGGTACCAAACGTTTCTTCTTAAATCTAATAGCTGTGAGGCTATAAGTGATTTACTTTTGTGTGTTTTTGTCAGGCAGAAATTTATTTATACCCCCTGAGGGTGTAAGAGGTTAATGCTCTATTATATTGAGGCTTTGCTGTACACTGTATGTTTCTGTTGTATACATTTTGGCGCGATTACCCTAAATACGTCAAGGTCATTTTTGTCTCACAGCTGCATCTTATCCTGCTTATTACACCTACCAGTTCCTTGCTCCTGTGACCTTTGCTCAAGTATTTAAACTCCTCCTTTTCAATGACTCCTGGCTTAGTTCTCCTATATTTTCATGTCAAAGTCCTGTGTTCTGTGTGTGCTGTCTTCCCCTCTTCTGTTAACTTATTGTATTTATTTATTTTTTCTTCATTTGGTGTTCCTTTGTTTTGCATAAATAACACTTTTATCATTAAACCCCAGGTATGTTTTAGGTATATTGCAAAATGTGAGCTGTTCTCAGAAAAAAAAAAGTTTTTTTAAATTGCAAGTTATCAAATTACCAGTAACTATATATATCTGTGTATAATGATTATCCATCTGAGCTTTACTTCTTAAACTGAACCTTAAAACAAACCCTTTGATGAATAAATGCTGTAATCTATTGAGATACAGCTGTGCATCAAGCAGCCAACATCCCATCCCATTTAGGCTCCATTGCCCACTAGTATGGGGAACGCCCAATTTGTGTCCAGCTTTTTCAGGACTGTTGTAATTAAAAACACATTTTCTTTCTTACAAAGAGGTTGAATGCAAACTGGCAAACCTCCAGATTTTAAAACTGAAAACTTATCACCTCTTATTGTCACCTCTGAATTAATCAATCCCATCTCCTGACAGCAGCTTATCTGCCCGTGTTATTACTTGTAACACTGTATGGCACCCCTAAGTCACGCTGTCCCAGTACATTGTCCCCTTCTGCTTCCCTAAGAGAAGATTGTTCCCATGAAAGAAGGGGGCGTCACATATACCCTGCAGCAGCACCACGGCAATCATATCAGCAGATTGATTCTGACGTCCAAAAAAGGGTTCCTTCAATGATATTGTTCACCTGTCTCATAGGCTTAAAGTGGGTAAGTAGGAGGGGAGTGCTTTGGGAAGGGGGTCGTGTGAGGGTTATTGGGTGGGGGTTGGACACAGGATGAGAGGTATTGTTCAAGAAAGGTTTGAGGATTGGGGGTGTGGTGCTGACAGGTGGAAAAAAACCCTCAAAACACTCATCTGACTAGCCTCTTCTGTCCATCCATGGGGCCCCATTTAAGCAAAGTAATGGAGTCCAAATTACAGCACATGATTGCTAAGAACAAAACTCTATTGTTTGCCCTCAGGGCACACTAGAGCACCCTAAATGAGTGTCACAGCAAGCAGCAGGGCATGGACCGTTACGGCACTATTTAGTCTGTCTCGTTGTCTCAAGACAGCCCTGTTTCAGAGGTTCTCAGATCAGACAAATACTGCTCCCCTTCTCCCCCCAGCGCCTTCACCCCTTCCTCTGTACAGCTGCCCCCCCATCCCACTACTCCTCACCCAGAAATAGGCCAAATCTCCTCCATTGTGTTTCGACTGCCTAGTGTGAAATTCACTGTGACATTAAATGTTTTCTAATGAATAATTACTGAATGGATATGCAGGGAGAATATGTGTAATGGATTGTAGACTGCATTTTAAAGACGTCTTTTTTGTCTCTTTTCCGTGGTATTTACAGGACAAAAAGCCCCTTGGCCGTTCTCAGAAGAAACGAGGGCCATAGGAGGAGGATGGAGGCATGGGGAAGGGGGGGTCTTTGTGTCAATTAGATCCAATGGATTATCTTTTTTTTAAATGTTTTTTTTTTTTTTTTAACAGAGAGTTGAGAATCAAAGGATTTCTGCTTCCAAAGAGGGAGTGCAAAAAATACAAAACCAACAAAAGCTGGGAAAAACCTTTGGTCAAAGTGTCGGTGCTGTGAATGCTAAATAGATTGGTGGAATTTTTCTTTCCCACTATGCTTCTGAAATGCGCCGCTGTTTCAGGCTCTGCCAGTCCATTTTGTGCTATGTTGTGTTTACTTGGAGCATCAGCGCAACTGAATGAGGGGCTGCAAGCCAAGGTCCTTCTAAGCTGTGTAGCAATTATCTTCTGTTTGTTCAAATGCACAATCAAAGCCTTTGCTTCAGAGACATTTAGGACCTTTAGATCCTTTTATTTCTATAGATCCAGCAAATACAATGTTGGTGCTTTTTGTTGTCTCCTATTTTTCCCCCACTTTGTCCCCAGCAGAGCTGTTTATTGAAACATGCTTTTATCCAGATGCAGTTGTCAAAGCAACTTACTTGATACTTTTATGCATGCATAATTATTGCACATTTTAGTTCTAACAGTTAAACATGTTTTCACTGTAAAGCGATTTACTCTTATCTGTAAAACAAACTAATGAATTTTCTAAATGTTGAAATATAACACAAAGAAAATTGAGTAATACTAAAGATTACAAAAAATTTGATGACAGAAAATAGCAGTAAGGATCTTTGAGCAGGGCATTGAGCTCCATAATGACTGAAAGCTGTTGCACAGGGTCGGCTGGACATGGAGGGTGCCCTGACAGCTAGGGACCGGGTGGGAATCCAGGACTTTGTTCTTCTGGATGAAACTACAGAGGGAGCAGTTATCAGCAACCTAAAGAAACGCTTCAGCAAAGATCTTATCTATGTGAGTCTCCTTGCCCCAAAAACATCAAAATGTAAGTTAGAACATGTCCTTTTATTTATGCAATGACTTTTATTTTCACTTTATCGTTTCCTTAGACTTACATTGGCACTTTGTTGGTGTCTGTGAATCCATATAAGGAGCTGGACATCTACAGTAAGAAACAAATGGATGTCTACATGGGTGTCAACTTTTTCGAGCTTCCACCACACATGTGAGTGTATAGTATGCATCATACCATAGCTTAATCAGGAAAATAAAAGGAGGACTCCGATATTTCAACATATAAATGTCCATTGTTTTATTCTTTTTCATCTTGAATCAGTTGCATTGTAATTTCAACAGCTGAATGTTTCCTCAGTAGAAAATTTATTCTTTATTGTCTTTAGCAAAAATACATTAAAAACCAATTCATTAAAAAATGCATTAAAGACCTTGTAAAAAGAGCTGCCAAATTTTCCTTTTATAATTGTCATAAATTTATTGTTCTACATGTCTAAAACTCTCTCAAACATATTATTGCACTGTGGCACTAGAGGTAAATTTGGATTTCAATATTCATATGTTTCAGGATTTTGTTTTTGAGTGTGTCTAAAAGTTTTTTTTCTGTCTTGTTGGAGACTTTGATGGCAATGCATAGACCACCGATCAATCTGAGGTCACCTCTCTCAGCAATCAGCTAGTAAGCAAGCCCATCTCCAAAACACAGGGACTCAGATGCAGCCAGAGAGCAGAATGACTCTCTTCTATTTCCCCACTAAACATGAGTCACACATGAGTGAAGCTTCCACTGACAAACCCCTTTATTGTCAATGGGGAAATCCATTCTCTGCATTTTAACCCATCCCCTTGGGGAGCAGTGGGCTGCCATTGTGTGGCGCCCAGGGAGCAATCAGGTTAAAGGTTTTGCTCAGGAACCAGAGTGCCGGCTGTGGGGATCGAACTGGATACTTGCTACCTTCTCGGAGCACAAGAGCACCGCTCTTAACCACTAGACCACCACTCCCCCAGATCCCTACTGAAATTAAAAATCTCTTTAATCTCTTTTAATTCATTAAATTGTGTTAGTGAAATATAATAGGTTTCAGCGGCCATAACAGACATGGCCCCTGCATCTCAGGGCAGAAAAAACTTCATAACATTACTTTTGAGACCTGATATGATTCGCTTAAATGTGTTTTTAATTATTCAAATTCAGATGGGTGACATTAAAACATATTTCTGTGGTTTGACAAACTGAGAAAGACACATTTATCTATACTTTACAGCACTTAATAGAGGTGCATCATTTTTGGAGGATCCTTTTATTCATTGTTTTTGTTCAAAATTACTTTATAAACCTTTATAAACCTTTCTTTATTGCTTTGTTACTGCTTTAGCTTTTGTTTGTACCCAGTATTCTGAATTCTTTTATATGTCCTTGTCCTCATAGTACAATGATATAAAAATGGACATAGCCTTTGAGTTTTAACACTTACAAACCGTGTGTTAGTATTAATTCTCTAACAGTTATATATATATATATATATATAACTGCCTAAATATTCTTGAACATTCTTTTCATTTTTAGGAGTAATCAATTTTTAAAATACAACATTAATATTTTCATTTGGCTTTTTATTTTTCTGATCATCTAAATAAAAATACAAAAAAATTTTTTTAAAGAAAAAAAAAGTCCAGAGACTGTACGCTAGTTGTCTGTTGACCTAGTTTCAAATAAATCTTTTGTTGCAGTGCCACATTTTTAGCATACAATTTTAGAGGCTATTAGGTTTAACCTTAAATGACCCGGTTCCGGATAAAGTGGGAGACGACGAGTACGAGTACATTGATAGTTAAAATCTGTGAAGATGTTAGCATGTCCTGTAAATAAAATTTAAAAATGCAATCTTGAAATAAAACTTCTGAATCAAAAAAATTCGAAATAACTTCAGCTGTTTTCTCAGATTTTATTTATTTATTTATTTTCATATAAAATTTTTTGCTATTGCAATCTTTCAATATTTGTTTTTCAAATACTTTTTTATATCTTATTGTTTTCACCTGCTTATTACAGATCCCACTCTCTTCACCTCTGGGGTGAACTTTTCTCTAAATTTAGAAGTGAATATGCATTTCCATTGGTGTGCATCAGTGTTCATAACAACATTTCTATGATCTATGATCAATGTACATGTCAAGAGAAAGCATTTGTACTGGGCTTAAAGTGAAGAGAAGGAGATCTGTAAAACACAATTTGAAAATGATGCGACTCATAAAACTCAAGTCGGAAAAAGATACATTTGAAAAAATTAAGTTTAAAAAAAATATAGGATTTTTTAAAAAAAAAGGAGGAACTTGAAAAAAAAATATCAGAGAACTGAGAAGTTACTCTTCAAACATTTTTTGATAAAAGAGTTTGTCAAAGTTTAATTTCTGGACTGTATTATTTTTTAGATTTCCAATAAAATTGTTCTTTGTCTGCAATAATAATGGAACAATATTCACTCCATACTGTTGCAATAGCATAATGCGGTGCTCAGCAATGCATAGAAAAAAAACAGGGGTGGCCCCAGGATAAAGGTTTAATTAATTCTAAATGGAAGTGGAGCTAATGCCCAGTAAACTATATCCATCTTGGCACAGAAACTTCTATCGGGTTTATAAAATCTGGAACCATTTAATCCAAACACACATGTACCTCCCGCACCTGACTTTGACGGAACCTGAAGGGGTTTTCAAAAGGCCTTGAATGAGATCTCACCAGTAGTCAAATACTTGAATGAAAATGTATTTTGTTATCTATCATTATCTTATCCATTCTTATGTGTCATTACAGCTATGCCTTGGCAGATAATGCCTACCAAACTATGCTGACAGAGTTCAACAATCACTTCATCCTCATCTCTGGTGAGAGTGGAGCAGGAAAAACTGAGGCCTCAAAGAAGATCCTGCAGTATTATGCCGTCAGCTGTCCGAGCACCACTTTAATGAACACTGTTAGAGATAAGATGCTCATGTCCAACCCTGTCTTAGAGGTTACCTAATTTTATCAGGACAGTAATTAAAACATAAATCTGTATGTGAGTAGAGCAATTATCCTAAACGAGAGGGGTTTGTTTTTATTGCAGGCTTTTGGGAATGCAAAAACTTTGAAAAATGACAACTCTAGTCGGTTTGGGAAGTACATGGATATTCAGTTTGACAACCAGGTAAGCATCCAAAAAAAATGCTGCTACTGAGATACAACTAATAAGGAGAGCAACTCATCAAAAACACGTTTTCTGATGGTGTATCGTCTGGTTTCACTGGTTATTGCAAGGTTTTCTTGTTTGCCTTACCTTAAAATAGCAATACATAATGCAAAAAAAAAACCCAAAAAACAAAAGCAAATTAGATGTCACGTGTCATTTTGTAAATGTGGAAAATATGATGTCTGAAGGGTGATGCAGTTGGAGGCCACATCCTGAACTACCTGCTGGAGAAGTCGAGGGTTGTGCACCAGAATCATGGGGAGAGGAACTTTCACATCTTTTACCAGCTGCTGGAGGGAGGATCTGATGACCTGCTGAAGCAGCTGGGTCTCAGTAGAGATGTCCAACACTACTACTATCTAACACAGGTTGGAATAACTTCATAAGGGCATTTTTATTAATGATTACTAACAATGTTTTACCTTGTCTCACTATTTCTTTTGAACAGGGGGAATGTGCCATTGTCTCATCTATTAATGACAAAAATGACTGGAAATCTGTCAAAAATGCCCTGCAAGTCATTGAATTTGATGAAACTAACACAAATGTAAGCTGAGTGATTTGTAGTGAACGAGTGTTTACATGGAGATGTTGCTAAAAGACATTGGTGCCTCTGTGCAGCATCTGTTTAGGGTCGTTGCAAGTGTTCTCCATTTGGGGAATGTTCATTTTGATGCAGATAGTAAAGGCCACGCCATGCTGAGGAACAACACAGAGCTAAACTGGGTTTCAGACGTAAGAAGCACAAACATTCATCACATCAATATCCAGAGGAGGCTCAGAAATACTGTACATATAACAACTCATGCCAGTTTTCCTTATAGCTTCTGGGATTGGATGCCCACAACCTGAAGGAGGGACTTATGTTCAGGAGGATTGAAGCCAAAACAGAGCAGGTTCACAGACACCAAACCTGCCTTTATCCTATCTAAATTAAAAGAATGTGTTTCTCCATATTGCAACTGTGATCATGTTTTCTTTTTAAGGTCCTCAGTCCTTTCTCAGTTGACCACGCCATCTATGTCAGAGACGCCCTGGCCAAAGCCATCTATGGACAGACCTTTACCTGGTTGGTCAGCAGGATTAATGAGTCTATGGAGAATAAGGTGAGAATATGAGCGGTAAAAAAACATACATACCAGTTGCATTTCCAGAGTCGAATATATTCACATCCTTTCAGCTTTTTATAAATTTCCCTTTAATAACAATTAATAGTAGATGTTTTACTTTTGGTCCAACAACAAAAATTAGAAGCAGAGGCATATATTTATGAAAGATATAATTTTTCTTTCTTTCAAAAATAGCAAAGAAATTTTTTAGAACGGCATTTTTCAGTAATGACATCTGTAAGTTGGTTTGGCCCAAGATTTTACCCGATCTTCTGCTGAAATCTCTCAATCTCAGTCACACTGAATAGCAGGATCTAAACCTCTGCACCCTGGCACTCTTTGTTTAGGGTTGTTGCACTTCTGTAGACAAACCTCCATCTTTTGTCAAATGTAACAGTTTTTTATTTTGATGTTTTTGTTTTCCAGGGATTGCAATGATTTTAGTACCATTCCCATTCCTATTAACTCTGACAGGTTCTTGGTCCCTGCAGACTAAAAGCTTCCTCTAAAGATGAAGCTGCCACTGCCGTGTTTTGTTGTTGGTTGAACAGTTAAATATGGCTCTGACCAGAGGATATTCTTTCACACGATAGCTATGTCTTCCACTGATAGCCAGATTAGTGGAGTTGATAATCAATAGTGGTGTTGTTTTTAGGTTCTCCCAACTAGGCTGCAGATTTCTGCAGCTCCTTCAGAGTTACCATGGACCGCTCTGCAGCTCTCTGATTAAATTTCTCCTTGCGTTTCCCTTCAGTGTATTTGGATGGCTTTGTTGGGTTTGCAGCTGTGCAATTCTTCCTTTGTTTCCAGATGATTAAACAGTTCTCCATGAGATGTTTAAAGTTTGGGGTGTTGTTTAATAACCAAACTTTACTTGAATCATTCTATAACTTCAACACTTACATGTATGCTGTGTTCCTTGGTTTTATGATGCTCTTTGTTCATTTGTGTCATCTAAAACATCACCGATGTTTCCATAAACCTGCTGTATTTATGCTAAAAGGAAATTATTAACAGATGAACTGTTGTGCTGACTAGGTGATAAAAGTAATTGGTTTGATGTTGGTATTCGAATTAATACACACCACACTTTTATCATTAAAAAAACCCTAAAAAAAAACAGAATAACTTCCACCATCCAGTCTCACTAGAATTATATAATTATATGGAACATATTAACCCTCTTATGCATGTATTATGATAAACTCCCGATTTTTTTACTAATTGTTTTTGTACATCCATAGAAATGTAAAACAAGGTTTAAAAAATATATTTTTTTTCTGTCTTTATTCTTTAATTATATGTTCATCCATCCACACAGGTGTACTTTATGTATTTTATACTGTAAAAAAAAATATACCAAAAAATTTGTTAGATATAGTTGTAATTAATTTTACAGTTGTAATATGGTATCCTGTTGGAGTGGTGCTTCCTCTACTCCCCTGTAGAAACCAAAATATCTGAGGTCTTTTTCCCTTCAAAAAAAAGTAACTGAAACCATCTTGGTTTCAGTTACTTTTTTAAGTTGAAATGATCAACAAATGGAATTTTTCTGTATGGGATGATGCAAAAGCTTCTACCAGATTGGATGATGTGCGTAGATACCCAAAATTGAGGGCATATATATATATATAAACACTTTTAAAAAACTGTACACTGTAGTGATCACTGTGCATGAAAGAATTAAAGCTTGTGCAGTAACAAGACACAACGTGAAAAAAGTGATGCGAAAACTTTTTTTCAAGGTCCTGTTATTGAATTAACTTTTTCTACTAGGACTCCTCACGAAAGACTGTTATTGGGCTTTTGGACATATATGGATTTGAAGTGTTTTATGTTAACAGGTAAGCTTTACTCTTCATCATTAACTAATCCTCTGATGAATATTGACTGCTTTTGAAAAAAACAAAACCAAATGCTCCGAGCATACCTGCATTTTGCATAAAATCAGCTGTATTTGCTCTCTGTCATTAGTTTTGAGCAGTTTTGTATAAACTACTGCAACGAGAAGCTGCAGCAGCTTTTTATCCAGCTGACACTCAAATCTGAGCAGGAGGAATATGAAGCAGAAGGAATTGAGGTAAGAAATATTGAAATATGAAAAATACGAGGGGCGTTCAATAAGTAATGCCCCTGGCCCACTTCCACATGTTTGATCGAGCTGATTTAGCATGTAATGTATTTTAAATCTCTATAGATTAAATAGCAAATTGCAGCTGTGAACTAAGTATGGTTTCTGATTTACTGGTGTTAAAACTGAGTCAAGTCTGAGGTTTTGCATTTGAAAGGATGCACACAACGGGGGACTTTTGATCAAATGAAAGTAACTTATAGTGATAATGTCCCATAATATAACCTTTTAAAACATTTTGCAAGGTCATATAACGGGCATCATCCCCATAAATTACTTTAATTTCATAAAAAGTGTCCCAATAGAAAGTTCTTTCCAATAGAAAAACTGGATCATTGCTCAACACTCAACAGGCTCCATTTCAGACTTTACTCAGTTCAAACACCTGTAAGTCAGAAACCATAAATTGTTCAGAGCTGTAATTAAAAAAAAAAAATAAAAAAACTTAATCCATAGAGATTTAAATAACGTCGCATGCAACATTTCAGCTCGATCAGACATCTGGAAGTGCGTCAGGGGCATTACTTATTGAATGCCCCTCGTATTTAGTAAAATGAGCTATCCTCAGCATTAAGTAGCTTCAATCAGAGTATTTTTCTTGCATAGTGGGAGCCGGTTCAGTTCTTCAACAATAAAATCATCTGTGACCTGGTTGAGGAGAAACACAGAGGAATCATATCAGTATTGGTGGGTAATCATGGACCACTACATCTATTGACATACATAGAACTTAATTCAATGAATCAGGATATTACATTTGATGAACAATAACAACATTAAAGCAAAATTAAAGAAAACCTTCAATAAACACACTTCTGCATTAATCATTTTTTTGTACCTTTAATATAGTTTTGTAACCTTATAATATTATTCCAACTCGATAAATCTGAGTGAAACATCTAATGATTGTTATGCTGCAGGATGAAGAGTGTCTCAGGCCAGGCGATGCCACAGACCTCACCTTTCTGGACAGATTAGAAGAAAAGATGGGAAATCACCCCCACTTTGTTACGTGAGTTACAGAAAATATTTCTTAGGGTTTTGCTAAATGGAGGTGATTGTGTTTTCATTAAGAAAAAGGTTTGTGATTCATCTGTGCCTATGTTTCCTCCCCTTTGACTGCAGACACAGACTAGCTGACAAAATGACTCGGAAGACTCTGGAAAGGGGAGATTTCCGACTCTTGCATTATGCCGGGGAGGTCACCTACTGCGTTGTGGGTAAAAGAAAATCCCAGTCCCGAAGCCTTTTTATTCTTAAGATATTTACCATTAAATTTTCTTGTTGGAGTTCTGTGACTTAGCCGTTTTTTCACATCTAGGTTTTCTTGACAAAAATAACGACTTGTTATACAGAAACATAAAGGACGTAAGTCAATATTTCTACACGTTAAACTAATAAGTCAAAGATATGTAATCAAAAGAAATGTATTTTCAAGACTTTGCACAATAAACAATGAAAGAATGGAGCACATTTCACAATGTATTATCTAGATGTAAACAAATATATTAATGTGCATTTTCTTCTATTTTTAAAGCTGGTTTGTCAGTCAAAAAATGACATTGTCCGGGAATGCTTCTGCACTGTGGATACAGCAAACAAGAGAAGGCCAGAAACAGTAAGTTCTGCTGACTGAATCCTTATAAAGAAAGAAAAAAATGCAAATAAATTGCAAGTCAAGATGTTTGCATGAAATATTGGCATTAATGTCATTAATTTGAGGCATTTGAACAGTTCTTTTTTTAGAGCATAACGATGACGCAACAGATGGATTTTAAAAACGGGGATTGAGTTTATAGCAATCGCCCTTTTCAGAAACACAGCGGTTCAGTTAATCGGTTTCCTGGCATCAGGCCATTATAATCCCATTTCAAGTATTTTTAGTAGGAATGGGCTCTATTAGGAGGAAGTTAAACTTTGTATTTGTAATACTTTTTTTTTGGCGCATGCAACCACTCTCGAACAAACGGACCCAAACAAGCTCTATCAGATAAAATAAGTTATAAAGTTCAGGGACAACCAAAGGACCATCAAGAGTTGGACAAGATTGAGAACTGATCCAAAATAGTTTCACATAGTTTTACTACCTTTGATCTGAAGGTATAAATGTTATCTAATATCGTTTAGATGAGCTGATGGATTAATGCAACCTTTTGGTTGTGTCTTTAGGTGGCGATGCAGTTTAAGAATAGCCTGCAGAAGCTGACAGAGATGCTTATGGCTAAGGAGGCCTGGTACATACGCTGTTTAAAGTCCAATGAGTCCAAGCAGCCAGGTACGTCAGCGCAGAATAGCCAGAGGATACAAACAATAGACTCATCTCTGCTATGCAACCACAGGACAGTTTGACGAAGCTTTGATAAGACATCAGGTGAAGTACCTGGGTCTAATGGAACATCTCAGAGTCAGAAGAGCTGGTTTTGCTTACCGTCGGAGATATGAAGACTTTTTAAAGAGGTAGTGAAAACCATGTCTATCTTCATGAGGTTTTGCCTGACTGTGGCTGATGTAAGCCTCTCCTGTCTGGGTTAATCTGATCCATGTTGCAGGTACAAACCCCTGTGCCCAGCCACCTGGCCTCACTGGAGAGGACTGCCTGCAGATGGTGTTGAAGTGCTGGCTCAACACCTGGGCTACCTACCTGATGAGTACAAAATGGGAAGGTGAGGAAAACATTCTAGTTCCGCCTAGTTATTACACAACAAGCTAGTTTTAGCAAAAGTAACCAACCCTCATTTAATTTTTATAGAACTAAAATATTCATCCGTCATCCCAGAACACTTTATGCCACAGAGGACGCTTACGAGAAATGCAAACATGACTTGGGTGAGTTTGAACTAAATCTTAAATGCTTTGAATTGTAAAAGACGTTAATCGAGTTATGCTTTGGATTTGCAGCAACCAAACTGCAGGCCAAGTATAAAGGATACAAAATCAAGGGAGAGTTCAAGAAGCAGAAAGAGGCTGGTAAATACCAGAACACATAACATGGGGCCTAAATATGTTTGAATTAAAATACATCCAATCCAAACAAGGATAGTACAACTATATTTTTGGAGTAGAAAACTTTTATATCTGATTATACTTTAAATCTCATAGAAATGTATAATTCATAACTAAATCTCATGGTTTGAGGTTGACAAGATAAACGTGAGAAACTTCTGAATATTTCACAACTTTTGAACAGCCTCACATGATTTCCATGTCTGCAGCAACAAAGATCGAAACGTGCTGGAGAGGAGCACAGGCTAGGAAAGAAAAGGAGAAACGAGCATGGGCCGTAAAAGTCATCAAGAAGTGAGCAAGAACATAAGCATTGCACCCTAATTCCAAATCTCATCTTATCATATTTTATAATGGTATTATATTGTATAACGTAAATTATATTTCTCTTTCCTGATTTAGGTTTATCAAAGCCTACATAAACAGAGGAGAAGCAAAGAGCACAGATAACTCAGAGTACCTGGCCTTCGTCAGACAAAGCTACTTGAACAGACTGAAGAATAATTTGCCAAAGACTGTTCTGGATAAAACCACCTGGCTAACTCCCCCTTCTGTGGTCGCTGAGGTAGTTCAGCGTTTGTTTATAACAGCTTAGCCAGACTGAAACCCAAACTTTGGATCAGTGGGTGATTTTACTGTTTCATTGAAGGCATCAGAGATACTCCGTAAGCTTCACTACCGTCTGATGGTGCGGAGATACGTACGAGGAATCACACCACAGCGAAAGGCCCAAGTAATAAAAACTAATTAAACCATATATCGCTGTGGTTTCTGTTTCATTCCTTATTTTCTTACTTTTATTGTTCTTTCAGCTTCAGCTGAAAATTGTCACCAGTTCTATCTTCAAAGACAAAAAGGAAAATTACCCACAGAGTGTCTCTCAGCCCTTCTTGGACACAAGAATCAGTAAATCTCAAATAAAGCAACTGCACACAAGTTTCTGTTTCTAAATCACCGTATTTATGAGAACTCTGCTCTCCAGGTGAACAAGAGATCAACAGCCGGGTTCTTAGTATGATTCGCAATGAGCATATTAAGGTAAAAACACTAATCAGTTTGACATAATCCAGTGCTGCATCTAGCATTGATGGAGTTGGGTTTTGTGTTTCTGCAGTACAGTGTGCCAGTCATTAAGTATGACAGAAATGGCTTCAAACCGAGGCCCAGGCAACTTATCCTCACCCAGACTGCTGCCTATGTGGTGGAGGAGGCCAAGGTCAAACAGCGAGTATCATACAGCTCTCTCAAAGGTCTGAAACACATCAGCTACTTCAGTGATTAACAATAATAAGTTTTTCTTAAGCTAAGTTTGGACCCTTTGCAGGGATTTCTGTAAGCAACCTAAGCGATGGCATTATTGTATTTCATATAACCTGTGAAAACCCCAAACAAAAGGTGAGTCAATTTCCACTTTTTTTCATTTCATTACATTACATATCATATATTTAATTAGGATTTTATTTAAATAATCAACGCAAGATAGTGAATGATTTTACAAAGGAAAGGAGATGTTTTAAACATGGGATGTGCATTTGCATTCATCCCCCTTATTCTTACACTCCTATGTGCCTTCAGGAGTCTCAGTCCAATTTTTATTTGATACACTGTCAGAACAGATTCAGCTGTTGCAAAGGTTTCAGAGGTTAGAGAACATTAAGGAACAGCATCAGGTGGGTCAGAGATAAAAAATCCCTAACTTTGAACATGTCACAGAAGCCAGTTCAGTCCATCATAATAGCGTAGAGAGAGTACAGCACAATGGGAAACTTACCAAAGCATTATCATCAACCTAAACTGACAGGCGGGGCAAGGGAGAATTAATCAGACACTCAGAACTCTGGAGGAGCGGCAGAGCTCGGCAGCTCAGCTGCATATGTAGCACTATAAAGTGCTACATATGTATAAATACATACATATATATATATATATATATATATATATATATATATATATATATATGCATGCAAAATTTAATGTTTAGTGAAAAACAAATTCTGTTGTAAAGCAGGGTGATGGCATCATTATGATCAGGGAATGGGGATCTTCTTGTCAAAGCAGATAAAATAAAACCTATAAAGACAACAAAGGACAGGAGCTAGACAACTACCTTTAGACCTGCACCCGGAGCTGTAGTGGTAGGAACTATTAATAGCATTATATTTGAAAGGTCCCAAACAAAGGATGACCTAAATCAAACTGGAATCTTTAACAAATGAACAAATTTTCAATATCTAAAAACTGACTCTACATATATGCTACTGTAACTGGAGTAACACAGTTCCACCAAATATTTGACTCAATGGTGGCTGAATAGAAATACAAGCATTTCTGCATTTGAGTTTCTATATTTTCTTGTACAAACTGACATCCATGTTTATAAGAGTTATAAAGAAATGTCACATAAAAAGGTAAACAATAATTTGGCTACTTAGAGATACATTTTTGTTCCCTGGTATAAAACAGCAAAAAACTAACAAGATTATTTTTTCTCTGTTCTTGCATTAGGGGGATCTGGTCATACAGTGTGACCACCTGTATGAGTTTTTAACTAAACTTAGCATCATTGCTAACAAACAGAACATCATCAAAGTGGTGCAGGGAAGGTGAGTTCTGTGAGAATTAAGAAACCTGGTTTAAGAACAAAGGATTAATTAACTTCCTTTTTTTTTTCTTTTTTCTTATGTCTCAGCATAAAAATAGAAATCCAGACAGGCAAAGAGAGCGCAGTAGACTTCAGCAGAGGGCAGGAGCCCCAAGTGTACAAAGCCAAGAATGGCCACCTCATGGTGGTGAGTTTAGATTTATGTTCTGGTCTCAATTTCCCCTGCAGAATTCAATAAAACAGTCACTTTTCTGCTGCAGGTCGCCACTCGAACAAGGACACGGTAATGTGGAACTGAAGATGAGACGCAAGAAGCCCCTGGATATCTCCTCAAGAGACCCCAAAGGAGAGGACCATATCCCCTGCATGCACACCTGGCATCAACCAGCTGCACCCCTAAATGCAGCCAGGAGCTTCTTCATTAGACAGAAAGTCAATTTAAATCTGTGATGTAAACTGAATCACAATCTAAAAAAAACAAATCTGTTTTGAAGAAAAGTTTTTTTCAACTAACTGGTACCTGTGATCTCTGACCAGTTCAGCCATATGTATAATAATTTTGTTTTTTCACTGGTTAGAAAAAAAAAAAAAAAGAAATTAAAACACATACCAAAAAAATCAGCATCTAGAAATTTATTTGTGATAAAGTATATATAAATATAAAACATTTGTTCACTTCTGTAAACAGATCTAAAACTGTTGCTTGTATTGACTTGAACATATACTGTAGTGTGCAAACAGTATATTGTCTGTTGAATGCAGTGATGGACAGGTCTAATTCGCCTCGCTGTTTAAAGCTTGTAGACAGGCATCCTCTTCCTGCCAGTTAGCTCTCCAGTTACCCTCATTCGCTTAAACCTCAGCATAAATCATCCAATCAGCAAAGAACATATAACACCTTAGATCACAGATCAGGTTCCCTCCACTGGAAAATCAAATGCTTATAGTGGAATGAAAGGAAATGTACAAACTCTAACTAAACAGATTATATGCATAAGAATGAAATGTTACATTCCTCTCTGATATCATAACATAAAAAATATACTTAAGGTTTTAATAACTAACCAACAGGCTACAAAATAGCCATGGTAACATTTCAGGAGTTAAACAGTGCCACCACGTGGTCACATTGTGCTATAATTTCAATGATACTTTGTGGAGCAGTCAGACCCACAGGAGAAAAATGTGAACAGTTTAACTTATAAACAGATTACATTTCTTGATTCTCTAAATGTCACGTAGCTTGGAACCCTAAAACAACCGATTTCTGCACAAACAGTCCGACCGGTAAAACTTTGTTCTGCTGAAAACAAAAATTCATGTAAGCAACAGTACATCAAGGTGATTTTTTAACAATATAAAGCGACTTCAAACTAAGACAAGACAAAAACATAAATTACCACCACAAAATGTGGTACGACACTCAAAGCCTGGTAAAGAGAAGACAGGAAATGAGAGAGCAAGAGATTTGCTTGTTGTTTTAAGGCACAAACATAATAAAGAGACTAAGATGGGGGTGAAGAGGGGGAGGTCACTGGTGATGGTGTGTGCGGTCATCAGGGCGTTTGATATGAATCCTACGAACTCTTCCAACGGGCTCTTCGTCGTCGTCCAGATGGCTAGATCTTCCTGCAGCGCCGCCGGTGGCTTCAAGCAAAGCGTTGTCTGGACCCCGCCCATCGTGGGATTCATACAGAAGAATGTTGAGGGTCTCCTCATAGATGCGTGCTTCAGGAAACTCAACCTAAATGTTTTACAAACAACATTAAAAAGTTGAATTTAATGACATACAACATTTTTTGAGTTTATTGTGCTGATTTGAACATAGTAACAGTAAATGTTTATTTACCTTAGTCTGCTTCTTTTCTGTGGCATAAACAATAGAGGTGCAGCACACCTCAGCAATCTTACGCCCCTGGCCATAGAAGGACCAGCAACAGATCTCATCTCCTATCACATCCTTGATGAAGAGGACTCGGCCATTAAACCGCAAAGACAGCTTGTCAAACAGCTCAATATTTTTTAGCATGTTGTCATCAGAATTGCTGAACAGGAGAAAAAATAGGAATGTTGATGAGTATAATATAATTAGGGCTGAAACAATTGGATTAATCGATTATTGAAATAATAGTCAACTAATTTAGTCATCGATTAATTTTTAACCAGAGCAGAGACTCCAAAACATGCCTTTAGCTGACAGAGAAACCCACTTAGAGCAGTCATTTTACCAAAATTGTAAAAAGAAATCTTCTTCAAGGAACCATGCTATCAGATTATCAATCAATTAATCTAAAAAATTAATGGCAGATTAACTTTTAGCAAAATAATTGTTAGTTGTTGCCCTAAACCCAATACTTAATTTTTATAAGCAATCATAAACCCAGTAACCCTACAAAGGAGACTTACCTAGTATAGGAATATTTATTGTTGCTTCTGTTATACAGTAGTTTCACAGTAGGCTGCAAAGACAAAATGTTTATTAAATTAACGCATAGGAGCCCCATAATATTTAGAACAAGCTATAAAAACATACCTTGTTTGAGGTTGCAATGAGTCTTTGCTCTTCCTTACACGACGTCATAAGAGGCACTTTACAAAGAGGTTCATATGTTTCCTTCTTCTGAAAGACAGTTTTTAATTTTCTTAATACTGCAATTAAATTACAGCCATTGTAACATAATACCAGAGAATGGATTGTATTTAAAGGGTGTTATGTAACAGGATAAGTGGGTCAGTTATTTTGGTTTAAATCCTAGTCATAATCACTCAAATGTTACCTAAACTGAAATTACAAAACAGGAATGTGGGAAGAATGCTAAATCTTCAGTGAAAGGTAATCAATTATGAATCTAAGCATTATCTTATGCATGTCTATTGATAGAAAGATTTAATTCAAAAGAGAAACAGATACTCAATGGTAAGTTCATGAGCAAGGAAGTAGAGCTAAGAAAATTGTTTATTTTTTAACTCTTCACTATTATGTTATTCTTATACATTTTTCTTAGGTCCACATTTGTATGACCATTTTGTTATCTTTTTGCTGCTGTAAACACCAGAATTTCCCCATTGTTAGACAATAAAGGGATTTTCTATTCTATTCCATTATAAAAAAAGGTGGCATTTGGGTACAAGATGGAAGACAAATTAGCAAGGAGCAAAAAGCATCTCAGCGAGAGCACAGAGAGTAAAGTAAAATTTGGTCCCTGGAACCTTTCAATTTGTTGTTAAATAATATTTCACATTTAGTCACTTTATTAGGTCCAGGCTAATCATTATCAATCATTATGCTGCTAATCAAATGACAGAAAGTCTACAAATTTACCATATAGACTTTTTAAAGACCAGTATTCTCAAATTGAGCGTCAGAATGGACAGAAATGGGGACTGATTTTGAAAGCTTTATGGTTTCTGGTAACAGCTGGGCTGGTCAAAAGGTTTTAGAATCTAATATGTGGATTTTCACAATTAATCGTCTGTGGTTTACAGAGAATGGTGCAAAATAAAGAGAAAATGTGTGGTCTTTATGGACACTATAAGTAGCGTCTAAGTGCTATGGCTTCTTTCAGCACTGATGCTGTCCTCCTTTATAAGAAGAGTGCATCCACCTTCAGATGGCTGATTTTGGCAGGTTAAGGAATCAAAAGCTCCAATCATTTCTCAATAGTTTTACAGAAAAAAAAAACACCGCTCTCCAACGTACTTAACAGCCACCAGATCTCAATCCAATAGAGCATCTGTTGTGAGGCGGCGGATAAAAGCATTCGAGGACAGCTTCAGGCCATTTGTAGAATGAAGGTGACTCCAACTGCTTAAGGGGGTCTGATCCAGAACTAGCAAGCTGCACTGAAAGAACTGACTGGTGGTGTTACAAATATTCCAAAAGCTAGGAATTTAAGCAGATTAGACCAAATCATACCTGATTAAAAAATTACATTTTAGAAGGACAAAAGAATGGTTAAAGAAATTCCAATACTATTTCAAAGAGCTAGATTGGGTACCTGCAAGGCTGCTGAGCATTCATCAGCTAAGCCCTGGACAAGGTAATACTTGGCCTCTGCCAGTAACTCTTCAGTCTCCCTGCGGCTCTCTGGGAGTGGGACCGCCCCGTCCCTAAGGAAGTTAAGGATTGTTCCGAAGTGTTTTCCACAGCGATCAATTAGGATCCAACCTATAAACAGGAAAAAAATATATCAAAAATTGTCATGTTGAGGAAAGAGATTGATTTTAGTGTGCTTACATCATACATGAAGAGCTTACCTTCACTGTCTGTGAGAACCTCCATCCGCCCACTGAACATAGCTTTAAGCATGGTGTCCTGCTTTGTTAGTGTCTGCATTGTAGTGTAGTACAGCGCCCCACCCACATTTAACTTCACATACTTGGAACTGGGACTGGAACCTTTGAAGGATGTTGTCCTGGTTGTAGCTGCTGGCACTGCCGAGCTCACCACGCTGTCTCCTGACATCTCTTCCTGGAACAAAACAAGGAAAAACGTCATTTATTTAAATAAACGCCTTTCCCATCTAAATTAATCTTTTGCATTATTTGGTAAACTAGCAGATTCAGAGCCACGTATTGCACCGTGATTTAACAATGCTGGGTTTAATTTCTAATTTTCGCATTTCTACATGATTTTTTAAATTAATTTATAATTAATGAACAATCATAACAGGGAGGTGTAGGAGCCCAATAAGGATTTTGGGGTTTCTCCCTTTTTACCCCCTCATGAATGACCTGAATGTATGTTGTAAGTGGGTATGTGTACGCACTACATGAACATGCCTCAGTTCCATTGTGATTGGAGGTAGGCTACATTCACACTGCAGGCCTTAATGCTCAATACCGATTTTTCTGTGAAATCCGATTCTTTTGCGTGGTTGTTCACATTTCCATATGTATGCGACTTGTATGCGATCTCCTGAGTGAACTGCATTCACACAACTCAAGTGTCCCACATGTGCAGTAGAGGACGCAATGACATCACAAGCAAACGTGCTCTGTGTTTACAGAAGTAAACATGGATGGTAGTGCTGGAACGCATTTAGCGATCTTTCCCAACCTCAGCTAGTGCATTGACAACACAATCTTTCCAAGACGGTAGAAAATAAAGGCTGCTCTCAGCATCATCGTCCACCATGGTTGTTGTTGTTTTTCTTGCCGCGTCTGCGTATCAAGACACAGAATAATGACCTTTGTCGAGCATTAATGGCATACACACAGGTAGCATTTGAAAAGATTGGATACGGATCGGTTTCAGGACCACATAGCCAAAAGGCCTGGGTCACATCAGGAAAGAAATCAGATCTGTGCTGTTCAGACTGTCATGAACAGATCAGATACAGGTCACATACGTGCAAAAACAAAATCAGATTTGGGTCACTTCGGGCTGCTGTGTGAACGTAACCGTAGAGTTGATCTGTTTCTGATACAAGTATTGGAAAGGTCTCCGATACTGGCAAAAAATGTTTGCATCAGTACCTGAGAGTAATGAAATCTTGCAGCAAATTATTTTAAATAATCCATAGCCTTGTACTGTACAGTATCTAGACAAAAGCTTGAACTTTCCTATCTTTATCAAGACAGTGTACTGACTTTAACCTATGTTGCCCTAAACTATCTATAACCTTAACAGGCACCAAATGATTGGTAGTAGTTCACCATCTATCTTGCTGAGGTACTTAAATTATTATTATATTAACAAAGACAAACACACTGTGGATATTTGGATTAAAAAGGCTCAACATGAAAAAACTCCAGTGTTGAACCTTATGTGATGAGGTGAGGTTAAACCCCCAACAAAAATCATATTTTGATAAATTTAGGTAATACAAGTTCATATATATATATATATATATATATATATTCTACAACAGATTGATTTGACGTATTTTGAGTCGTTTGATATCTATATCAAATTAGTCAAAACCTATAAATGTTACTTTCAGCTGGATCATTCAGAACGTGTTAAATGTCAAAACAGAAGATAGACATTTTATTGGACTGGAGAAAACGGCGTCATGTAGGCCATCAGTAAAGTCATAAAAACATTTATGGTAAAACATCGAGTTTAACATTGACCATGTAGCAGGCGGGAATCCTAATAATATAAATAACTTTGTTTCTAAAACAATGGACCGTTATATCAACGTGCGTAGATTTCAACTTCGTTATAGCTTCCATTAGCTAGCAGCTAGTTAGCCTACTAATAAGTTACCAAATATATCAAATATTAAGCTTTTTTCCAGTAACAATGTTTGAAGTCAACATTATTTCCCACTACTGAGTTAACAGAAAGTAACTTCTTGGTTTATAATACTAATAAAGCATATATATTTACCATAGAACCCACAGCTGACTTCGTAGTTGTCGCTTGCTAACGTCAGTCAGCTAACACCCACTTTTTCCGGTGTTGTGCTGAAAAAGGACCCCCCGATAGGAGGCAGCGAATCTGAAACTCGAATTAGGTGGCACCAAAGATGCCTTACTGATTCACTATCTTTGCTTGTTGTTTTGTTATTATTATTATCATTATTTTTATGTACAGAACTAGGCAGGCAAGGATATGCAGCCAAGATTCTTCAAACTGTTTTAGCTGTTTTCGAAATTTTAAAAATATTTTTTATTTACTAATCACAAAAAATAGTTTATTGTAAACATGTCGACATGTTGGGGGATATTTTGTGCCCATGGCCGTCATCATATACAATAAGTCTTAATAAGGTTTTATTCGACGGCAATTAATTTAAAGAGCCTTTAACAAAACTAGTTACATTTCATTTAAAGGGAAAGACCAAAATGCGTTTTTGAACTGCCCCCTCCACTGCGACCCAGGATATTGTTGTAGACAAAAGATGGATACAATTACTATGAGTAATTTCTCCCCTTTTCTGCCTTCTAGATATCGGATTGCTTCATCGCCGCTCTTAAGAATATTTTCTCAAGTGACAGTTTAATTTTACGTTTAATAACGTATTAGCATGTATAAATTTTATACATGCTTTTCACGTTTCCTTCAGGCAACGTAAAAAAAAAAAAAATGCGCGTTCCATGTCGAGATGCTTTTCATTTCAGGGGTGCATTTTATTGTACATCACCGAGTGTACCGCGTAGCGTTCATAAAAATGACGTCAACCGTCGCAAACAATGATTGAAAGTAGATGTAAAATATGTTAAAGTTATAGACGATACGGTTTTGGATATTTAGACATTTATTCTTTAATAAGTACTTCACTTCAACCAAATGTATGGTTTACTTCTTTTAATTTGCGTAAATGCCAACAACGCCCTCCCCCTATTTGTCGTTTCCGTTTATACAGCAGAGTGTACCAGCAATAATAGTCCCCCGTCCAACACCTACCAACACTGAGTAAGAGCTGAATTCAACAAGAATAATTTCACATTCGCCATAATACGTAAACCGAGGCCGTTTATTAACATACCAGAATTTTTATTTTGGATCCGGATGTCTAACGTACTTTGCGAAACCGGATAAATTGTACCCGGAGTGATTTTAATGCGACGCAGCAGATTAACGACTGCAGTCTAGTAGAGGTTCCTTCAGATTGTTTACGTTTAGGAACGGGTGTCTCCTGCTTTCGAACAAACTGACATCGTTACAGCATTAGACGCCACCTCACCCTAATGCTAAACAGAATTAAATCAATTTAAAATGTGTGTTTTATAGTCGGTATCAAAGCAGCCGACTAGCCCAGCTAGCTAGGTGTCGTTTTTCCACCTTCACGGGTATTTCCTAGCTTCAGAGATGCTAAGTTAGAGCTCTCTTTCTCTTCTTTTTTATTTTATTTAATCCGGACTTTCCTCATACTTGGATGTTATGGACTGCCAAATGAAAGAGAGTGTATAGCGAAAGGTGTGCCTGAAGGCCAGACAAAATCTGCTTATCTTCTTAACTTCACAGGTAATCTCTGTCAAAACACTTTGATCATGCAACTTTTTTTTCTATGGGGGAACAAGCTTCAAACAGAGGATATGTGTTCTGTGAGGCTTCTTAAAAAATACTTATCTATACATTAGGACACAGGTATTGTTCAGTAACTTTAAATACATTTCTGCAAGTCATTGAAAACGTCGTAATTATGTATAATATAGATTAATAACACAAAAATATGTATTTCAAATGTGTATTCCATCTTTCGATGACCATGCCTTGAAATAAAGGAAAACAAACTTTTCCTTTCTCGGCAAAATGTAAATTGTACTTCCAATGTGTGAGGCAAAGGCTCAAGTTTTAATTGCTGTAGGCAATATCTAATTAGAGTGTGCTGTACTGAAGCATGTGTTGTATAGTCATAGGGAAAAAATGCTATATGTAGCTTTGAGAGGATTGGATTGAAGCCAAGTCAAGAATTTGTAGGACATGGTTTACATAGTTACATGGTTTGGACTTCAGCTGGAGTCATGGCTTTAAGAATCAGCACACACAGATATAGTCCCATTGGCTACAGCTGTCATCCTTGCGTTATACCACTCTTTAACTAGAGACAACACCAAAAGTACCTGAATGGAAAAATGGACTGAATTTTTACATGCAACCAGAATTTGTATTTGATTTGGGGGGGAAAAAACAAAACAAAACAAAAAACCATCATAACAGGAGAAGTATAGAGGCACAGAATCTGATTAGCTTCAAGTTCAATTTTCAGTTTCAAAGTCAGTAAAGATCTGAGGTCCCATGTTATTCCACAGTAAACACAGCCCTCTAGCAGAATATATTAGAGAACATTTGGATTTAATTTTCCAGAAGGATTTTCACCTGCCCTGGTATCACTGTGCTCCATTTGCATATAAACTGTCCTGACCGGAACCATACAGAGAACCTTTCAGGTTGGAAGACAAGGGGACCCCAGACAGGAGTCTTTAACATTGACCTTATGCAACAGCCAAGTTACATGCATTTTTTAATAAAGACTGAGATGCACATTTTTTCAGCTTTTTGATTGTCACAACACTTTCACAAGTACAGAGCAACGAAATGAACTCTCTGCATCAACATCCCTTAAAAAAAAGAAACATCTACTAACTTTTCAGTAGATACTGCTTCATTTGAATTCTCCTGTAAGGTCTTGTAAGTCAAACCAATGATCTATATTTTTCTTTTCTAGGGTACACAATGTTTAGTGTCCCTCAAAGCTCCAAGTCAGAGTTTCTGGACAAGGCCAGGCAGGCCAGAGAGGAAAGAAAGGGATACAAAGAGAAGGAAAAAGCAGCAACCCAGATCCAAGCTCTGGTGAGAAGATTCCTCTGTCGCTGCAGGCTGCAGAAAGAGATCAGGTGACTATAGTTTTTATAAGCTTTAGGTTCTTGCGCTTAGGTGCTGCTATTATGCATTACTTGCTGTGTTCCTCTTTGTCTGAATATGTGAATGCTGCTTGTTTTTGTCTTCCCAGGAAAGAAGTTGATGATTATTTCCAAGCTTCTGAAGCAGGAACAACAAAAAGAAATGCTCTTTCAATTTTTAAAATTGCACGAAAATTATTATTCATATACCGCCTTGAGGACAAGATGGTGAGTTCACTGCTGTCCATTTTTAAAACATTTTTTAAGTCATATATTTTTCATGTTGATCTGTGATAATCTATCCACCTTTATTGGTACAGTTAGTTTTTCTTATAGGAAGATAGAAAAATACCATCAATATACAGAGTTGTTACCTTATTTCCTTTTTGAGTAACTGTTATTTTTACGTTATTATAATGCATTCATACGGTGCCTTCAAGAGGTGTTCATATTCCTTTATTTATTTGATTTATTTATTCACATTTTCTCACATGTCAGCACTAATCTAATAACATTTAATAGGACATTTAATAGGATTTTATGTTCTGGATAACCATAGGGAATATGGTCATTAATTGTGAAGTGAACATTTTTAAAAATGCACTTCTAATTATTTGTTATGTGTTTGATAAATGGATATCATCTGTATATCAACAATAAGCAAAAAAAGACATTTCTAGATGAACAAAGACGATGGAGACGTCTGTAACCTGACAAAAGGTCACATCTACTAACCTTTACCTTTAGAAGCTGAGTAGAAAAAAATGCTCCTCCTATTATTTTAAAAAAATATTAAAATGCATACACACCATTTTCCTTCCATTTTACAACTTTGCATGAATTTGTAATTATGACATGTAATCCCAAAGCACTGCTTGGAGCTGTGAAGAATATCAATCAAAAAATGGAGGCACAGCCAATGAAATGCCTTCCACCTCTGGTAGTGATTGTGCACTTGTAGCCCAAAATGAAAACAGCATAGTGAGGCAGGGAAACCTATATTCTGAGACACTGTCTTCTAGTTACATTTATGTTTTCTCATTATAATCTATAGATTTGTTGCTGTGACTCAAGTTGGTTTTAATTATGTCCTTTAGAGATTTGAGAAGCTATGTCGAGCTATTCTGGCCAGCATGGAGGTGGAAAATGAGCCTAAAGTGAGTCTGACCATGTTGCTGTCCTAAACAGGTCCCAACATTTATTTTTTTTTTTCTTTGTCAGAATTTCTCTCAGTGCCGTTTCCTCCCTTTGGTTTACAGGTCTGGTATGTTTCCTTGGCTCTCTCCAAAGACCTCACTATTCCCTGGCTGAAACAGATCAAAGATGTGTTGTGGATTTGCTGCCAGCTATTGAAAAAACTAAAGGTGGATCTTTATTTAAACATCAACTATTAGTCCCAATTAGTTTAGTAATTATGTTTCGGATATAATTATCCCAACAACTTTGTGATTTTCAGCCTGACATACTCCAAGACAACAAGCTGATTACGCTGTACCTCACCATGCTAGTGACCTTCACAGACACGTCGACATGGCGGATAGTCCGGGGAAAGGGTGAGAGTCAAGTATAAACAGACCGGCTGTTATTGCCTGACAGGCTTTCGTCAAAGGAAAACATAACATTAAATGGTCTTTTCACTTGAATTGTTGCAGGTGAAGCTCTGAGGCCTGCTTTGACAAGGATTTGTGAGAACATCATGGGGCATCTGAATCAGAAGGGATTCTACTCAATACTGCAGGTTGACTTTTATTGGTTGTATTTAAATGGTAACAGTCCTGTACTTATATTAACATTTTTAAATCAGAAAACGCCAAAATTTAGTTATTCATGCAGAAATTCACCAACGGATGGTAGCCAGCTACATTGTAGCCAAAGTTGGGGTTTGAACAATTACCTGCCGGTTGCAGAATGAACTCTTGCATCCTACAGCCGTGTAGTATTTATGCAGTTCAATCAAAACAACTGATTTCAGTTTTAACTGAAATTAAGATTTATTTGTTAGATATGAACATGTGCTACATTTGTTTTTAGATCCTGTTGACCAACGGCTTGGCCCGGTCTAGACCATCGCTCTCTAAAGGCACTCTGACTGCTATTTTCTCTTTGTCTTTGAGGTATATTCATATTCAATTTTGTTTAACTTGAATAAAACGTTGGAATTTTGCAACATCTGAATGTTTGCTTAAGTTTGATGTATCCATCTGGGTTAATAATAGGAATCTGTTGTGTTCCAGGCCAGTCGTCGCTGCTCATTTTTCAGACAACCTGCTCCGTTCCTTCCTCCTCCACATCATGTCCGTTCCAGCTGTTGTGTCCCACCTTAGTGTCTTGACTCCAGAGGTAAAAAGCCCTTTTTCCGTCTGAAAATAATAATGTCAAAGGTGAAGACAGTTTGCCTTAATGTAGGCTTTATCCAAACAGTGCATGACGTTAATCCAGACCCATGACCTCCTACGGAAGTTCGTTTTGTTCCTAAGTCGGGAAGAACAGTGTCTGGACATCTGCGTGTGTCTGGAAGGCAGCCACACGCTCTGCTTACTTGGTAAAGGATTTCAGAAAATTATCTGCTTGAATATTTCTGTTCATTTAATCAAATTCATGTTTAATTTAATCAAAACATGTGTCATTTGAGCTTCAATTTAGTTTAAAAAGTAAAACTTCTATATTTCTGTAGATTAAATTTATAAAAAGTGATACATTTCAAGTGCTTTATTTTACCGTTACATCAAGTTTTTATGAAGCCCAACCCAGTCAAGGTGTTTTAGTCTAAATACTTTACACAAATAAACATCTCTTTTTGGGTAGGCTGATATTTCCTTATTAAAAATTTTTGTTTTTATTAATCTTACAATATTAAAATTTTCTGTGAAATGAACTTTGGCGTATTTAAGCCATTCAAACTAACAGTAATAAATGTTTAAAATGCATTACACATTCTGTATATATTATATCTAATTTATATAAAAATAATATTTGAGTTTATTTTTAATTCGTTTACCGGGTAAATTAACTTCCTGATGATTTTGTTGTTCATTGAAATGCATCTTTTAATAGTGTTACCTTTCACATGTTCGACAGGAAACCTGATCCACTTGGGTTACCTTAACGAGAAAGTCTTAGAAGAAGAGGCCAACCATTTCGTCAAGGACCTGACCGACATGTTGTCGTACTGCCAAAGATACGTTTCGCAAAAGAAGTCCAACTTGACGCATTGGCACCCTGTCCTGGGCTGGTTCTCTCAAACGGTGGACTATGGGTCAGTGATTCTTTAAATATTTAAATTAAACCAACAGTTTAAAGTCAAACTTTGAGTCCAAGTAGAACCAGAACAAAAAATGAGAAGACTTTGCAGAAAAAATATCATTAGGGCATAGTTCTGTAGAGTAAAATGCAGCTTAAACCTTTGGCTTTTTAAAAATACTCTGTCTTTAAATTCATACAAATATAAAATGTTGTCAGCAACTCCCTGTGTGTGTTTTTTTTTTATTGGGATTATTTACAGATTTTCTTTGCTTTAACTGATTTCTTTTTCTTTTTGTCTTGTCACTTTTATTGAAAACAACGTTCCTCATTCTTCGTCTCCATCTCTTGTCTCTTTTTCTGTTTAGTCTCAATGAATCAATGCCTCTGGTCACTAAACAGCTTCAGCATCTGTGGGGCGTATCTGTCATTCGAACTCTCTTCAGCGACGTCCTCTCCAAGAAGCTGGAGAGTCAGGAGTCCACCCCGCCGCCGCCGCAGCCGAGCACATCTCAAAACAATCTACCCGTTAAAAGTAAGTTATCAAGGTGGAGCCTGCAGAATGTTTCGCCACTGAGAATTTTCTGTGTAGCTCAGGACGTATTGTGTCTGGATTTTCCAAGATCTTTTTAAGAGAGCATTTCAGAAGTCTGCTTCTGTGAGGAACATCCTGAAACCCGTTGGAGGAAAGCGAGTGGACTCGGCTGAAGTCCAGAAAGTATGCAGCATCTGTGTGCTCTACCAGACTACTCTGTCCACGCTGACCCAAATACGCCTGCAGATACTCACCGGTCAGCTCACCACTCACACTGTTTTTTTGGAAATACTGTTTTAGATCATTAGGAATGAAGCCCTGATCCTGTTCTTTTAACTCAGGTCTCACACATCTCGATGACCTTTTACCCAAACTCTGGGCTTTCATCTGTGAGCTGGGTCCTCAGGGGGGGCTCAAACTGTTCATGGAGTGTCTCAACAATGATACAGAGGAGTCCAAACAGCTCCTCGCTATGCTAATGCTGTTCTGTGACTGCTCCCGTCATCTTATCACGTAAGTGGAGAGATTTTCTCTATTTAAGGTCTACTCTGGCTGTAGGCACAGTTATTTAATTACCTGGAAATGGATTGCACCTTTAATTGGGAATGAATTAAGTTTGGAATTTCATTAAACAGAATCATATTTAGATATAATTAAATTATTTAACCTCAGTTTTTCTTCACATTACTTTTAAATGATTCCCATTGTGATTGTGGAAGACTGTGGCTCAGGGGTTAGAATAGATGTTTGACAGTCTGAAACTATTTGGATCACTCCTGTTAGACGTTGATATGCCCCTAGGAAAGGGACTTAACTCTTAGTAGCCTGCTGATGAATATTTGGATTAGTGAGAGTAATTAGATGAATGAGGCTGTAGTGTAAATCACTTGGATTGTATAGAATAATGATGTAAAATCAGTTAATTTATTATATAAAGCTACACAAATAACTAAGATATTACTTTTTCAGAATTTTGGATGACATTGAAGTCTATGAGGAGCAAACATCCTTCAAGATAGAGGAACTCGTTACCATCTCCTTTTTTCTGAACACATTTGTGTACAAAATGATTTGGGATGGTATTTTAGGTGAGTCTGTTTTTTTTTTTTTCGTTACCAGAAAAGCTGTGATGTGAAATTTTAAATCGCCTTGTTAGGGTTTTACAGATTTAGGATTTTTATTGAATTTGATGGAAGTAATATCTATAACTGGATGTTTGAGAAGGAAAATAGAGCATTTAAAAATATTATTTTATATGCTAAAAGCAACATCCATCCATCCATCCA